GGTTGTGTCTGACAGACATGTTAACCGCGGGACTGGAGTCTACACCAGGGGTTGGCAACCTTTTTTGTGGAGTGCCAATTTACCATTTCTAACAATCTGAGTGCCAGTTATGATTTTCATATATGCATTACAAGGAATTGTCTATTGAATGTTTAATTACCCACAAACGGAAGAATTCCATAGCTTGCTAAACAGAGGCGCTGTCCATCAGCACCATGGAGCTCCACTATAGGCCTAGCTACATCAGATGAGCGATGCAGTACCAAGGCGCTGTCCAAGGTGTTGAATCCGGCGCTGTCTTCACTCCTTTTAAAACGCATCTATAGATCTTTGTATTGTACTTCCTGATTTTTGCCATTGTTTGGTCGAGTTTGTAAGTAATTCCTTTGTTATGCCTCTTATTCCATTGCATTATGTGTATTTGTCTGACATGTAGTTGTGGTTAGCAGTTTTAATGTGATCATTTTAATTTTGATGTCTGCATTTGAAGTCGGCCTTATTGTGACTTGATGGCCTGTAGTAGTGGCTTTATGTATATTTCGTAAAGCTGTCTAAACGTTGGTTTTATTTATGGTTTTGATTTATGGACAATATTCGTTTGATGCGTTTTATCAAGATAGAATCCAGATTTCGTTGTAATGAGACACTTCACTGCTGTTTTCAATTGCATTTATCAGATGTTTAGATTGTTTATATGGAAATGACGTTAGAACACTTGGAAATATGATTTATACATTATTATAATACTAATGTGTATAAATTGCTCCTCCATGCAGTTTTGTGGAACAGTCCCATTTCAATATAGGCTACAGAACTACAAAGGCCAAATGATTAAAAAAAACATTATTTATTGAAAAATAGAAGGTTCAAATAAAAAAACGACAGATGACTGTTAGGCCTACAACAGCCCTAAACATAACTCAATGTATTATGTCCATATCTGCTGCTGAGAATCGTAGCCTACTCAGTCTCTTGTCTCCCCCGTCTTATTCCAAATCCCCTGCAACACACACACATTCACATTACTACTTGCTGAAATTTACTGGCATGAACATTACAAGATTATAACGTTTTGTATTGAAAATCACATCTTTAATGCGTTCCTTGTCCCTGCTTTCCATTGCTGAGCCGCGTAATATCTGGGCTATAGTTGAAGACTTTTAGCTGCACACAGGCCTCCGAGTGGTCCGTTGTCAGCTGGCTGCGTGAGGGGCTCAGGATTGACTTCATGTGTGAAAAGATCTGTTCACATAGATACGTGGATCCAAATGCTGAAAGCATTGCACATGCAACCTTCTTCAGACTGTCAAATTTCATTGGCAGGCTCTCCCAACAGTGAATAATGGAGGCGCCCTGATCTGTCCCTTCCAGTTCTTTGTACAGGTCTGTGAATTTTGATGACCAAACGGAGGATGCCTTGAGCTCGATCAGCTGCGTTTCAAAGTCCTCGATCCCCATCCACTGAAACACAGACGGATCCAAGACGCTCTCCTCAAAGTTGTCTGGCTTGATCAAAAAAGAAAACATTGGGCCATGTTGCTTGAAGTCTTGAAATCTGACAGAGAACTCACTTTAGCTCCCCCATGTACACTCCGATGGCGTCAGTACTGACAGTGTGGCTTTAACCATATCCAAACACACCACGAACCATTCCAGAAACTTCCCTCCACTTAAACACCTGACACTGCAGTGAAGAGGCAAGTGTTTGTGGATTTGTTCCATCTCTTCCAGCAGTGACCAAAACTGTCTGTGTCAAAGATGAGCGATCAACAAGGAAATTCACAATTTTAACTACAGTAGCCATCAGTACCTAAATTGACATTTGAAATCTTGGAACACAGATTCTCTTAGTGAATGATAGTGAAATTTTACCACGGGGTGGCCAATCTTATCTTCAGTCAGCTTTGCGACTCCTTTGTTTCCCCTCTCCTCAAAATGATCCGTGAAGGCTTTTGCTACATCTTCCCCTTTAGGAGTACCATGCATGGGTTTTAGACAAAGCAGCTCCTCGCGTACCTTCTCTGAGTCACAGTATCTTGTAACAACTGCCAGACTCTCATTAAGAGCCACACTAAACACAGGTGCATCTTTTAACACTACAGTTTGCTGCTCCTTTACATTTTCATCCATCTCAGTGTAATGGCAGACACATTCATGTCTTATCTTTGAGATTGTGTCTTTGTTATGCAATCCATCAAATAAAGCCTACGACCACTGAGGAAAGCCTCGTTGACATGTTCCTCATCAGTAAATGGTTTTCCATGTTTAGAAATGCACTGCGCAACTTTTTAGCTTGATTTTTGACTGCATGTAGATTTGTAAACACACTGCTTTGCATTTCATACCTGGATAAGGCCGTCTTAATTCCTTGGAAGTTTTTCTCATGTCTCGTTTCAAAACGATGCTGTACACTTGATGTCTGATAAACAAGTTTTACAACAGAGAGCGCAAACAGCCCTGCCCTTCAGTAAAACACATCCATATTCCTTTGTCCAAGAGACAATATATGAGTGGACATTTGCCTTATTTTTCTTTGCTGATGACATTTTGCACCCTGAACTTTTTAAATAGCAAAAGAAGGCTTGCTAGCTGCTAGCCGTGTGAAAACCAATCTCATCTTCAGTGCCGCCTTGGTTTTGAATTTGGCAGAGAGGCGAGGCGGGTTGTCTTGCACTGAACTAATAATGATTTTCCTGCAAAATCATGAAAGCCTATTGGCTAATCAGGATTGACATACCTTGGGAATTACAAACTTGCAGTGAATACCAACGCAATTTCGAAACCAATGCATGCAATTTCAATTATTTTCGGCAGTTTATCAAAAAATTAAAAATCCTGCCGAAAATAATGGCAAGTCACGCAACAAAATACCCCCCCCCAAAAAAAATGTGCATGGCTTGCCAAGCCTTGGCGTGCCTGGTCTACACCCTCAGCTGGTGCTACAGCTCTGGGAGAGGTTCGGGAGAGCACAGGTGGACCTGTTTGCATTTCAGGAGAGCACTCATTGCCCCTGCTGGTACTCTATTTCGGACCTTATGAGTCTGGACGCCCTCGCTCACGATTGGCCGGCAACGACGCGTTACGCTTTCCCACAATTTCCCATGATCACAGCTACGCTAGACAGGTTCAACTTGATTGGCCACCAGCTGCTCTTGATAGCGCCATGCTGGCAGAGACCACCATGGTTCAGCCTCCTGTTGTCTCTCCTCTCGGGGACCCCATGGCAGCTGCACCTGAGGCCCAACCTTCTCTTCAGGCTGGGGGGACACTGTGGCATCCGGATCCGCGCCACCTCCAGCTTCGGGCTTGGCCTCAGAGGCGTTAGTGGACCAGTCTAGGCCTTTAGGACAATGTGGTGAACACGTTGCGGAGCGCCATTGTTTCTTCCACCAATGCGTCATATCAAATGTGGTGGGGCATATTCTCGGCATGCCATGACGAAGTTCAAGAGGGACCCATGGCCCACTCGGTGCCAAACTGGAACATTGTCAGTGCTTGCTGAGCCCCTAGAGTCGAGGACTTTGAAGCATCTAGCCATGAAGGTGGCATTCCGAAGAGTGTCACCCTCTGTCTTAACCCCTCATTCTTGCTGACGGTCCTGTTTGACAGATGTGAACCGGCCCTTACATTTGTCCACATATGCTCCTCCCGCGGCTGCGGGTGAGCTGGGTGTTCCCCCCCCCAAGTGTCTGTGATCTACGGCTCCTCAAAGGAGGTTACATATGTGACCTTCGTTGTCCACTTTTGTTTAGATGTTGAAATCAAGTGGCCTACCTGGATAAGAAGATGCTTATTTCTCAGAATGAGACTGTCAGATTGCTGAATGCTGAAACTCCTTTTTGCCACATGTACAGGTGGCCAAATGTCAGCATAGTGGTAGAAACTTTCAAATGACGGATCCTAATGAGCTTCTGCCCTTAAATAAATGCATGTTTTTATCCTCATTGCACATTTATAAAACAGACTAGACAGCTAGCCCATAAGTCTGGCTAAAATGCTGCTAACGGTACGTGAAACCGCAATGCCGTGCATGACAAACTGAGCATTCATTTTCCACTATGTTCATTGATACTCCCGTTTTTAGTAGGGTCTGCCCTGCGCTGAATGTTTGGACTTGAGACATAAAAATGGTATCAATAGAAAGGTTAAGTTCTTCTCTTAAATTAAAATAATGTCTCAATGTGTTTCGGCATCCATATGACCGATTTCTATTGGACCAAACCTCAAATGCAAAAGCGAGTTGAAACTGCTTCCTGTCAGAGGAAGAAGTGATCTTTTGTCTTTGTTGTTGTGAGTGGCAGGGAGAGGGGCTTGGTGTGTGCGACTGGGAAGGTCCACACAGCACAGAAGGAGCGAAAGAGACGAGACCAAAAAGAAATGCTCATATAAACAAACAACAAATGTTGCCTTGATTCTTGCAGTACTGGCATTTGGAACATTGTGCTAAAATTAATTATCAAATTAATTAATTAATTTGATATATCGCCCAGCCCTAGTCCCTAGGCTAGCAGGGTGCTCCGCCCCCAGTCAATTGTAGTCTGATGTGGGTAGTGCACATAACGTGAGGACTCAACACGTCCCCCGCGGATAGTGGACTCCGACTGTGTGTCAGATTGCTGAATGCTGAAACTCCTTTTTGCCACATGTACAGGTGGCCAACTGTCAGCATAGTGGTAGAAACTTTCAAATTACAGATGCTAATGAACTTCTGCTCAACTGGAATACATTAGCTAGCTATCTCCAAGTAATATCCAAGTTTATAACAATCACTGAGTAATCTATATTAGATATCTCCATGTGACCAATAGTAAAGATGGTAGAATTAATCTTATTGCTGTTCAATTTATGAGAATTATCAAACAGGACAGGTTACATGGAATAGAAAAGGTCTGAACAGGCTTACAGAGAACGGTCTGGGGAAAGCAAGAGATGCATTGCTGAGAGCAACATGAGGAAGGAGAGGAGGTTTAGTGTCTGTCTAATAGTATTTTCCTCCATCCATGGCCAACCTGCCATCCATCCCTTTTACAGGCTCTCTCAGACAGGAGGTTCTACAGTTGCAGCTGTCGGCCAAGGGCCCCCTGTCTCTCAAAGGTAACTTAGCAGCCGAACTCCAACCCCTGGCCTGCTTCAAGCCTAATTCATCGTTCATGTAACCTGGACCCACATACTAATGTGTCCCTACGTCACCTGGACTAATTTGATGCCCATGGCCATCTGTCAACTATTCCCGCTTGACCATCACATCCCAGTACTTCTCCACCCACTTGACTAACTCATCTTTACCATTAGTCATTGTTACAGTTCATATGGTATTGCATGGCTCATGCCCATGACCTTACAGGTGTAGTAGCTAGGTTTGCATATTCCAAACAATGTCCTCAGGCTTTCACTGCCTTATGTTTTACCCTGCCTCACGTCACCTCAGCTGGTCCCATGTCCCAGGATTCCCAGCCTTCTCTCTCCCTCTGACCTACTAACACTGTATCGCATCTTGGATACTCCCAGCTCCACCCTCCCCTCTGCACACTGACCTAACTCCTCTCATAGAGGCTTCATTCAGAATGCTGCATAAACTGTAGCATTACCATTCGTCAGAATTTCTGCAGATGTTTGGGGTCCAACCTGGGGAGCCAACCTCACTGATTAACTAACTCCTTTTGAGCCTAGCCTATTTATGCTAGGTTGTGATCACTGGAGTAAGGCGGTGTGGCCATGTGTGATTGTCTCCTCACTGTCTCTGCCATCTGTCAGGTTAGGGCCACAGTCCGGTAGCTTTACTACTGGCAGTGCCAGTCGGCTCGGCTGTGTCTGAGGGATTAACCCTTCAGGCAGCGGGCGCACCGACCATCATTCCCAGTTTAGCTGCGTGTGACGTGCCCGTGTGTGTCAGCACTGGGGAGAGAATAGACCCTGCTCTCTATAAGTAGAGGGTCCTGGGATGTCATTACAGACACAGACTGACAGCTGAGCGAGCCACTGACCAAGACAAAGTTCACCTCTAACTCCCACACTCATATCTCTCTCT